CACAGTGTGTGATCAGTATGGGGTTTTGGGATCATGCAGATAGATGCCATAAGGGAACCGGTCCGAATCTGGTTGAAAGTGCGTGTCAATAAGGGGACTAGGAGGTCTGAAAATTCTCTATAATATTGGGCTGTGAATCCGTCAGGGCCGGGTTTTTTATGGGGGCGAAGAGATTTGATGGCGTTGGTGATCTCTTCTTCCGTAAAAGGGCTCTCCAACGTGTCAATCTGTTCTTGGGAAAGGGAGGGAAGGGGGAGTTCTTTAAGCGTGTTCTCAACCAGGGATGCAGGCTGTTGCTCGGGAGCAGAGTATAGTGTGGAAAGATGTTTGCTAAAAATATCCAAAATCTTGGTGGGAGAGCATGTAAGGGAACCAGTACTGGTGCGAATTTTAAAGGGTCTGAAAGAAGGGTCTAAATTTTGGAGTTTGTTCGCCAAGAGAGAGTCCGCCTTATTACCTTTACGGTAGTATTTATTGGCAGTGCTGTGTAGTTTGCCGTTCTGCATGATGCGTCAGGAGGAGGTTAAGATCACGGCGGGCCTTTTCTAGGTTCTGTTTGGCGGAGGAGGTAGGGGTCTCAGAGAAGGACTGCAGAGCTTTGTGAAAGTCGTGTTCTAACTTGCGGAGTAACTTCAGCCTCTCCCTCTTCAATTGTGCGGCCAACTGAATAATTTTCCCTCTAAGGACCGGTTTGTGCGCTTCCCATAGGAGGGTATAAGGGGTGTCAGGCAAGGAATTGAATTGAATGTAATCAGTTAGAGCAGAGAGGATGTGGGAACGGGAAGAGGGGTCAGTGAGAAGAGAGTCATGAAGCGTCCAGGAGGATGTTGTATTGATCGGGTTGAGGTCATGAAGAAATAAAGATATCGGAAGTATATGAGAATGTAGGATCGAGGGAGTTAGAGCTATGGGAACAAAGATATGGTCTATCCTGGTAGAGAGGTCATGAGGGTGGGAGTAATGAGTATATTCCATTTTAGAAGGGTTGGCTTCCCTCCAACTATCCACTAAGAGGTACCGTGAGGGAAGGTCCCTAGCAGCAGATGATGGTATTAAGGCAGCCGTAGAGTCCCTAGACCTATCTCTGTGTGGAAATAGGGTAAGATTGGAGTCCCCACAAAGGATTGTTGTACCAACCGAATGTGAGCTAACGGTAGATAAGAGATGTGAAAGGAAGGGCACCTGTTTACTATTAGGGGCATTGTAGGAGACTATTGTGATTTCTTTGTCGTGGAGAAGACCAATCAGAATTATATATCTACCCTCAGGGTCTCTGATGACCTTATTACACACAAAATTGAGCGATCTACGGAGACCAACTAGGACGCCCCTTTGTTTAGAGGGCCCATTGGCCATGTAAACTTGTGGAAATTGCGCACTAAAGTATTTTGGTGCTGAGGAGGAGGAGAAATGGGTCTCCAGGAGACAGATGATGTCCGCGTGTGCGCTTCTAAAAAATCTGAAGGCGCAAGTGCGCTTATTCGGGGAGTTGAGGCCTTGTACATTAAGGCTAAGTATTTTTAATGGCATAGCTGAGTGCATAGAAAGAAGCTAAATGTAATGTAATTCAGGGACTCAGGGAAACAAGTGAACTTGATAAGGAGGAAAAATTTACGTTTCACCCATGACCAACATAGTAGTAGCATTAGATCAGAAAGAAAGAGGGAAGAGAAAGGAAGAAGGAGACACAGAAGGCTGGGGTAATGACGCGATATGGCAATGCGACTGTTAAACAACGAGGGAGTTGCAATATATCTTTGTAGACACAAGGAAGGGTTGGATAGAGGGGACAGAAATCCATCCCTCGCCATCCAAGAGGTTGAGGCAGGGGCGGACTTGGCCGGGGGGCAGGGTGGCAATTGCCCCCAGGCCTCTCTGGTGCCTGTAAAAAGGTCCCCGCTGGCGCAGCTGCAATCGCTTTTTTTCCTGTCGGCCGCTCTGCTCCTGCAGCAGCCGAAGAGGAGAAGAAGCTCTTCGGCTGCCTTTGATTAGCCCGTGTAGTGTTCGGGCTCAACGGCAGCTCCCTCCACCCACTTCTGCCATTGGCTGGAGGGAGGCTGCACTCCTACTGCCTGTCTGCTGGGCCCTAAAGGGAGGGCAGCAGGAAGTGGCTGGAATCACCTGAAAACGTGCAGGCGACCTCACTGCTCCCCCCACCCCCCACCAGGAGAGGAAAAGAAGATGGCACAGCACCTGAAACAGGAGAGAATAACCACTGTAAGTCCCTGACTGCTGCACTGCTTTACTGACCGCTGCACTGCGTTACTGACTGCTGCACTGCATTACATGCTGACTGATGCACGACTTTACTGACAGTTGCACTGCGTTACATGCTGACCCCTGCACTGCATTACATGCTTACCGCTTACTGCGTTACATGCTGACCACTGGAATGCGTTACGTGCTGACCGCTGCACTGTGTTACATACTGACGGCTGCACTGTGTTACATGCTGACCGTTGCACTGTGTAACATAGTGATGGCTGCACTTCTTTACATGCTGACGGCTGCACTGCATTACATGCTGGTCGCTGCACTGCATTACATACTGACCGCTGCACTGCTTTACAAACTGACCGCTGGCCTCTGCACTGCATTACATGCTGACCACTGCACTGCGTCACATACTGACGGCTGCACTGCATTACATGTTGACCTCTGCACTGTGTTACATGCTGACCGCTGCAATGCATTGCATGCTGACCGCTGCACTGCATTACATGCTGGCCACTGACCTCTGCACTGCGTTACATGCTGACCACTGCACTGCGTCACATACTGACGGCTGCACTGCATTACATGTTGACCTCTGCACTGTGTTACATGCTGACCACTGCAATGCATTGCATGCTGACCGCTGCACTGCATTACATGCTGGTCACTGACTTCTGCACTGCGTTACATACTGACAGCTGCACTGTGTTACATACTGACAGCTGCACTGCATTACATACTGACTTCTGCACTGCGTTACATACTGACGACTGCACTGCGTTACATACGGACTGCTGCACTGCGTTACATGCTGACCGCTGCACTGCTTTACATGCTGACTTCTGCACTGCATTACATGCTGACCGCTGCACTGCGTTGCATGTTGACGGCTGCACTGCGTTACATGTTGACCACTGCACTGCGTTACATGTTGACCACTGCACTGCATTACATGCTGACCTCTGCACTGCGTTACATACTGACAGCTGCACTGTGTTACATGCTGACCTCTGCACTGCGTTACATGCTGACCACTGCACTGCGTCACATACTGACGGCTGCACTGCATTACATGTTGACCTCTGCACTGTGTTACATGCTGACCGCTGCATCCTAAAGGGAGGGCAGCAGGAAGTGGCTGGAATCACCTGAAAACGTGCAGGCGACCTCACTGCTCCCCCCACCCCCCACCAGGAGAGGAAAAGAAGATGGCACAGCACCTGAAACAGGAGAGAATAACCACTGTAAGTCCCTGACTGCTGCACTGCTTTACTGACCGCTGCACTGCGTTACTGACTGCTGCACTGCATTACATGCTGACTGATGCACGACTTTACTGACAGTTGCACTGCGTTACATGCTGACCCCTGCACTGCATTACATGCTTACCGCTTACTGCGTTACATGCTGACCACTGGAATGCGTTACGTGCTGACCGCTGCACTGTGTTACATACTGACGGCTGCACTGTGTTACATGCTGACCGTTGCACTGTGTAACATAGTGATGGCTGCACTTCTTTACATGCTGACGGCTGCACTGCATTACATGCTGGTCGCTGCACTGCATTACATACTGACCGCTGCACTGCTTTACAAACTGACCGCTGGCCTCTGCACTGCATTACATGCAGACCTCTGCACTGCGTTACATGCTGACAGCTGCACTGTATTACATGCTGACCTCTGCACTGTGTTACATACTGACAGCTGCACTGCATTACATGCTGACCTCTGCACTGCGTTACATGCTGACCACTGCACTGCGTCACATACTGACGGCTGCACTGCATTACATGTTGACCTCTGCACTGTGTTACATGCTGACCGCTGCAATGCATTGCATGCTGACCGCTGCACTGCATTACATGCTGGTCACTGACTTCTGCACTGCGTTACATACTGACAGCTGCACTGTGTTACATACTGACAGCTGCACTGCATTACATACTGACTTCTGCACTGCGTTACATACTGACGACTGCACTGCGTTACATACGGACTGCTGCACTGCGTTACATGCTGACCGCTGCACTGCTTTACATGCTGACTTCTGCACTGCATTACATGCTGACCGCTGCACTGCGTTGCATGTTGACGGCTGCACTGCGTTACATGTTGACCACTGCACTGCGTTACATGTTGACCACTGCACTGCATTACATGCTGACCTCTGCACTGCGTTACATACTGACAGCTGCACTGTGTTGCATGCTGACCTCTGCACTGCGTTACATACTGTGACAGGGTACACGATTCTGTGTATGTCAGTGAGAGGTTGAAAAGGGCATCTTTCCCTGGCTAGGAAAGGGTTAAGCCTGGCCAACAGGTAAACCTCCTCTCTCTATTAATTAGCCTGCACCTGATATTGACTGGGAGGGGGAGAGAGCTCAGAGCAAGATCCAGGCTGCACTAGATGGCACAGACTAGAGAGTGTCTGCATATCTGGGGAATAAGGTCTGCCAGAACAACTGTATGTATTGGACTATGGTTTTTGTTAATTTATACTGGAAGCTGGAATAGGCGCTCCAGTAGGACGTAGTGAGGGACACTACTGTTTAGTTAGCCTCCTAAGGTGGAGTAGGCCTTTTTATTTGTGTTACTTTTGAGTTTCTGCTGGAAATTGTTTGTTTAACGGAGACTTTTACGTTGCATGCAATAAAGCTGCATTTATTGCCAAATACTGATGAAAGACCAGTTTCTTTCCTACAAGTGGTGTCAGAAGTGGGATTCATTGTTGTACCGGCCAATTTCTCACAGTGGCCTTAAAGGTACAGGACCCAGAGAATGGAGGATATTGTGAAAGCCCTGACACAAGCTGCCACAGTGCAGCAAGAGACCAACAGGCTTCTGGCTTTGCAGATTGAAGCTTTGACTGAAGCACAAAAGGCAGATCATGCTATTCTCAAAGAAACCCTGGACCAGATGACTGCCCAAGGATCTCCTAACCCACCAGCAAGGGGGGTAAGCCAAATACGCGCAAGCAGCTGTCTACAGAAAATGACCCCAGATGATGATGTGGAGACCTACCTGCTGGCGTTTGAACGGACCGCCGTCCGAGAAGGCTGGCCTCCAGAACAGTGGGCTGGAATTATTGCACCCTTTCTCCTGGGAGAAGCACAGAAAGCCTATTTTGACCTGGAAGAGGAGGCTGCTGCAGACTATTCCAAACTGAAAGCAGAGATCCTGGCTCGGTTAGGGGTGACTGCAACAGTAAGGGCCCAGCGTTTCTACAACTGGAGGTTCAAGGAAGGAAAAGCTCCAAGATCCCAGATGTTTGACCTAATCCATCTGGCTCGGAAATGGCTCAAACCAGAGATTCAAACTCCTGCACGGATCATAGAAACGCTGGTGCTGGACCGGTGCTGGACGTGAGAGAGCTCCAAATGGCCTCCGGGAGTGGGTCACTCAGGGAAACCCCCTGGGCTGTGATAGCATGGTCGCACAAGTGGAACGGTATCTGTCTGCCAAAGATTTGGACCGATCTCTCACTAGGTCGAGTGGAAAAATCCAGGAGACTCCATAACTTGTTTTGAGTGTGGCGCAAAAGGACATCTCAGGGCGAGATGCCCTAATCTTCCTGAGCCAATGCAGTGTGGACTAGGGGAAGATTCCTCAGACTTTTGTGGACTTATCTGTTTAGCAGGCCTGGTTGAAGGGGGACATACCTTACGAGTACATGTCCTGCTGGACAAACAAGAGACAGTGGCCCTGGTGGACTCTGGCAGTGCCCTGACTCTGGTAGCCAGTAAATTAGTAAAACCTTGTTGGGTTCAGAAGCATAGAACCATGGGGGTATTGTGTATTCATGGGTGTACTGTGCGGTATCCTACTGCCAATATAGAGGTGTTAGTACAGGGCAGTCTGGTAAGGATCTTAGCAGTGGTAGTTCCTCGTCTACCATATCCTTTGATAATAGGAAGGAATTTCCCTGACTTCCACACTCTTTTACAACCCCCTGTGATGGGAGAACAAGGGGAACCTGAAGCGGAGCTGGGAAATACAGGTGTCCATGAAATATTTCCCTTTATTCATCCAGACTTGTATATCTCTAACCCAAAAAGAGGTAAAACAAGACGGGAACGCAGGCAGAGCAAGCTGAGATTCAATAGGGCCGTCAATGAAGTCCTGTTAAATCAGCATCGGGAGCAGTCTAGGAGAGGCGGGGCCACCCGACAGACAGAAGATGAGGCAGAGGTTGGTCAACCAGAACCCGACCCCGAGGCAACTAGTGAAGGTGATGAGGAGGATACAGATATCCTGGATATTTCGGGTAGTAGCTTTGGCCGAGACCAGGCAGGTGATCCCATGTTGCAGGAAGCCAGGAGTAAGGTTATAGAGGTTAATGGGGTACCAGTGGAAGGGGCAACAGAAAAGGCCTATCCCTACTTTATCCTCAAAAACGATCTTCTTTACAGAGTAACCTCCGATGAGGGACAAGAACTCGAACAACTGGTTGTGCCTTCATCTTATACCAGAAAAGTGCTGGATTACTCTCACTCTCAACTTCTGGGGGGACACTTGGAGGTGGAGAAAACCCAAGAACGGTTGCTCAGGAGGTTCTTTTGGCCTGGGGTATATGAGGGGATTAAAAGGTATTGTGCTTCTTGCCCAGAATGACAACTGGCATCTCCCAGACCGAAGTTGAGAGCCCCACTCATACCTCTCCCCATAGTCGATGTTCCTTTTGAGAGGATTGGCATGGACCTAGTGGGTCCCTTAGAGAAAACAGCTCGAGGGCACCAATACATCCTTGTCATCCTCGACTATGCCACCAGATACCCTGAGGCCATCCCACTACGCAAGGCTAATGCTAAAAATATTGCGAAAGAGTTGGTACAGATGTTTACACGGGTGGGGATACCAAAGACGTTGCTCACGGACCAGGGGACACCGTTTGTTTCCCGTATTATGAAAGAGCTATGTCAGCTATTTAACGTACAGACCCTGAGAACGTCAGTGTACCACCCCCAGACAGACGGACTGGTAGAAAGGTTTAACCGGACCCTAAAGGGGATGTTGAGAAAAGTTGTTAGCAGGGATGGGAAAGATTGGGACTTGTTGCTTCTTTACCTGTTGTTTGCTGTTCGAGAGATTCCCCAAAGTTCTACGGGCTTCTCCCCATTTGAGCTTTTATATGGTAGGCATCCCAGGGGTATACTGGATGTCCTAAAGGAAACCTAGGAAGAACAGGGAGTAACCGGGACCAATGTGCTCCAGTATGTTGAAGATATGCGGGTGCGTATGACTCAGATTGCCCCGCTGGTTCGCCAGCATATGGAGCAGGCGCAGAGTAGGCAGAAGTCCTACTATGACCAGAGAGCCACAGTGAGACAGTTTGAGAGGGGGGACAAAGTAATTGTTCTAGTACCCACCGCAGAAAGCAAACTTCTAGCACAGTGGCAAGGACCCTATGAGGTTTTGGAAAAAGTGAGCCCAGTAAATTATAAAGTTAGTCAGCCAGGACGCCGGAAGAAGGAGGCTGTGTTCCACATAAACCTTCTTAAGCTATGGAGGACTAGAGAGGCCTGCATGGCCACAGGGGGTGACACCAAGTCTGATCCGCAGGCTCC